TGTGGGGACTGGAAAGTAACCCGCGGTAATCAGGACAATTTCTGTTGATGCCGACTTCTGTACTGCAGACGTTTGAAGCATTCGATTCCACTGAATGTCCCACTAATAACCCGCACCCCTTCAACTCTCGTACTTTTTGGAATAACTTATCACTTGGCGACTTGGTTTTAACACCGTTTTCCATCTTCGTGATTCTCATCTTCTCGTAGCGTGACATTTTGTAACACATTCCTAATGATAGGAAGACCACCGTCAGAATCAACACACTAGGCGCAACAACGCTGGCCACTCGCATCGCAGGCATCGACAATGTACACTCGGTGCCGTTTTCGTCAACTTTTGGCGCATGCTCTGTAGCATGTACTTGAGTTCTTTGCTGATGTGTTTTGATGGCCTCTGGGATAGAAGAAAAAACATAACACCATGCATTAAGTATTGAGGGTTATTTATTGACTCTTTATGCATATTCCAGGTTCGGAGTTATTCAGGAGTTAAAAAATAAGGACTTTTTTTTATCTATTTGGAATAATTTTGGGAAAAATGAATTTTTAGAATGCCTCTAGGTTTAAAGGTCCACGAAGTGGAATAAGCCCAGGGCTTATAAGAAGTCTTATGGTATTTTCTTCCGTCAAATGTCAACTCCGTATTTTAAAAGAATATAATAGTGGATTCAGACTGGTGCAATTTTTATCGAGCTATACTTACTTCTTAACATGTTAGGCATATTACACAGCTCCCTATCACAGCATATCATTGGAGAAGACTCCAAACACACGTCACTTGAATTCAGCGCCTCACTGCAACCGTATATAACGCTGGTCGAAACTTTCCCATCGGCACTTGCTTTTCTTAATAGTTTGGTGAAACACCGCTGACTTGATTTACAAACAGCTTGTGGGCACGACGGAGAGTTGCAGAAACATAATATGCGAGCTAATGAAGTGAAATAACAAAATATGTCACAGTCAAGAGCAAATTTACTTTACGAACAGTCGCTCGACCAATGGTTTAGCGGTGTCCTAAAAATTAAACTTACTTACTTATTTACTTAAATTCCAGCAGCAGTGAGTATAACAAAAAGAAAAAAGACAAATCAAGATACTAGTTACTTTTACTTCAATGGAAAAATNGGTTGCTTTCATGAGAGCAGAATTTGAGCTGGCAGCTGTCCGTCTGCATCGCTCTCTCTGGCCTTTATCTGAATACTTTTTTTCTAACAGACAAAACAGAATTTAACATGGGAACACAGAAATTTAATATTTTTGCTAACCGATAGTAATGTCAAGTCGCCATTGTGCATTAGGAGGTAGGGAAAATGTCACGGCATCGATCCTTCTTTGTTTGTTGTAGTATTTTTGGCGGTATCACGGGTCATTGTTGACTCTGGCAGTCACGAAAAAGTGGTTACCATAGCTTAAATAAAACTATCAGCAATTCAGATTGGTCAGTAGCCATTGATGGCAAGGTTCAGAACATTAATTTTACAGGCTTTTTCTACACTACTGGTCAGGTTTTGAAAAACTGACGAACTACTTACACTCAGAATTGTTTGATTTAACCAATGAATATGCGGGTTCTGATAAAAAAAGCGGCAACTGTTTAAATACTATTTAACAGTGCATCTTTTAAGCATTCAACAGGCTCGGCCGTGTGAAAGAGTGACCACAAACTCCCATCTCTTACAGGCTGACAGAATAAGTATAAAGAAAAGGGCTCGGTTGTTGGTATTCATAATTCGAGAGGTGCACTCTTCACTTCAAAAACTCATAATCTTGTTTTGATTATATTCCTTGTAATTCCGCTCGGTTAACTGGGCTAAACAAACAGAAATTCTAAACAGACCGCTTGATTAAAGATAAACTGTATATTTTATATATCGGCTGAGTCATAGAGTCAAAAGCTCCCGGGAAAACTATTACTCGGTCACCGCAAAGTCAGTTAAAGAAAGCGAAATTGTACTGAATATCAGTATTAACTATTTGAATATTTCATTTGAGTGTAAAAACCTCTTTATGACACTCTTCCCAGCTAGGTGAGAAAATTTGCAGTTAATTGTTCACTAACCTGTCACACTGGGGAGCATTATTATCGGCAGCCAAAAGATTCTACAGTTGAACCCTCGTGCCCGCATTCTTCAGTTCCAACAATAACACACGACCGCAAACAATACTTCCTTCTCTGCGCTGCGCTGGGAAAATTCTAGAACGTGTGAAACGTGATCACAGTTTTGAATTACGTAAATGCGAGATTATAGAACTCCTCAATGATTGGGTCAGGATGGCTGTGTTTGTCCGCGAACGAATTTCAAGCTCTGTTTCAGAAAGGATACGACGCAAGTTGGAAAAATAGCAGGAACGTGCCTGAAACCGAACAACCAAAGCTGCAGCGAGGAACCTAAAGTGCCTCCAGTTTCTGTAGGTAGCACTGTTGTTATGGTTTGTATGCAGCCCACGTGATAATTTAACCCAAACTCCAACAAAGTGTTAAGATGACGACACGTGTTTTTGTCGCTCTGAGTCAGCCCGCCCGGCGCCTTTTGCAAAGAGACATTTAATAGAGGAAGGATAATTAATTTTTCTTTCAGGAAAAAGATAAATATTAAACCTTTTCCACGAATACAGAGTAGCTTGTGGAGCTGGCGTCAAGCAGGGAGTACCTAGAGGTGGTTGAAAATTATATTACTTCCTTTGGACGATAATTTAATTTTCTTTGAAGTCGTTTCGTCGAGCTACTTTACTAATAGCCCACTGACGAAATAGCGGTTGTAATTTCGAAGAAAGTCGACGGGTTTTCATGTATATTTTAGCATTAATACACATGCCAGCCCTTTCAGTCAGCGAGTTGTTGCTGTGCGAGTGCCCACGCACTTGTAAAAATTCCCATTGGAAATATTATATTCATGTTTTAATTTTCCAAATAAAAACAGCATTTTAAAAACGACTGCTCAAGGAATGATCTTCAAACGTACGCGGTAAAAGGGAAAAAAGGCAGTTATTTGACGAGTTTTATTTATTCTTTTTATCTTCAACAAAGGGCGCCGGTGTCGCCTGCTTGCTGCCTCAACTGACATACGCGTGTGATTTAGGTGGGAAAATTGTCTCCTTGGCGCCAATTATAGTGACAGCGCTCGCGGCTACAAGGAAAGCACTGAAATTAGCCAAAAGAGTCTGTTGAGCGTGCCAGCTTGACCAATGACTGAGATATTCAGATGAATGATTTTTTTTATCAAAACACCGAGAGAACCTAATTGGTCATTAAAAAAATGCCACGTGACAAGGTTTGTTTACAATTTCGAATATATAACATCCGAGAAAGGTTTAATTGTTGTTCGTTGTCCGTTCCAACTTCTACCTTTCTAGAAGTTCTTCGATGGTTTTTAAATGGATATTTTTGTCATTGAAATTGTAACATTTTAAACATTTTGAAGACCTGTTTATGTTTACTTAATAATACCTTTAAAAGCTATATTTCTTAACGAATACTTCCGATTTAATTTTTGTATAATCCCGGTCTGAAATACTGTTGCCCGGAAATGTTGTAATGCACTTTTTTCAGAGACACCTTGCCTAACTACTTAAAATCAAGCTTCCTTAACAAAAAGCAAATGATATTTTTGTACCTTGGATCTCATATTTTGTATTCAAATGAACGAGAATAACTTTGCGCAGATTTAAGCAGGCGAAGCTTTTTTCAAAACTTAGATATTGTCCAGTTTGGCATGATGAATGAAACAGAGAAAACAGTGCAAATGTGGCGAATTTTCACCAATGTGTCATTAACTTCGATCTTTCGCGACCCACTTCGCTGACTAATGAATTCAGTTCAAAATTGGCACACTGCAAAGCTCAGTTTCCTAAGCGGTGTTAGAATCATTATTTATCTCTCTAAACTTCAGTACTGACTAAAAAATGATTTTAGAGCTAAAGTTGCCCCGAAAACAAGGGAAATAATGACCTTCTCATATCAGTATTGTTTTTGGGTCAAGTTGGTTCCAAACGAACAAAAGGTATTATTTAAATCTTAGCAGGTTTTCAAACCGCAGTTAAATATTCACCGTCTTTTGCAGTGTTTGTTACCAATCAAGTTATTATCAAGCAACACTTACATGAAAACCTCAAACTAGTAGCTAGTAATTGAAATTGACTTAAAATTTCCGAAGCCCACGCTGTAATTAGTCATGACCAGGCTTAGTAACTGAGATGAATTCAAATAATATTTTAAGTAGGACTAAATATGGAAAAGTCAGTGTAATATCTGATGAGGTTCGAGAACTCGGGACTCAAAATATGAAAGAATTTAGAATCTCTGTGATGCCGACGAAATAAATACAATAAAGCGGCATTGATCGAGCTGTCTGATAAAATAAATCGTAATAAAATAAACCATCAAAGTGTTGGTATTCCATCTGATCACATGTGTGGGATGAAAAACAACTGAGTTAGGAACTTTTTTAAGATATTTGCCTCTTTGAGTCAAGGTACATGGAAACAAGCAAAGAGATTCTAACCACCAGTCGTAACATCGTTCCTCTCAGCGTACCGAGTCCCCAGAATCCTTTGTGCTCTGTACGCCATTGTTTATCGACATTAGCTACTTAATATTTCACATTACAATATATAATATAATATTCAATATCCTTTCTTCCTTTTTTATACAGGGTAATTAAAACCTAAGCCAACATCAGTTTAAGACATCACACGGAAATATCTACGGGCATTTAAAAATAGGGAAGAATCCAAATTAGATACGAAGTTTTCCAGTTAATTCGTAATTGTTACAACTAAGAAACATAATATTTACACGTACTGAGTTGCGACATCCATGGAAGTGGTAAACAAAAAAGATTTTAATTCCGGGTATATCAACTCTATTAATCTTACCGGGCCGCAAAATTTACGATTCCGATTGGTTATCAGCAGGCCCTATTTCAAAGCGTTCATTGGACAGTTAACACATTATGCCTGTCATTTACGCGCATCGGACAACTGCACTTCATTAGGTTCCTTTCTTCATGGAACTCGAAAAACACTGACTCGACTGTTGTTTTTTAATTTAGAAAAACCCAAACTTTTTATGGTACTTGTGCTCTAACTATCATTGCGATTAGTTGGTAACAGCACTTCATGTAGTCAACATGCTTTTATACTCGTGCTTGACTAACGTAGTTATCTCCAAGCCACCCACCCCCTTCCCCCATAAGACGGTATTTGTACTTGTCAACGTTTTCTTTAAGAAAATGCTCCCGACCTCCCCCTGAGTTGGCGCTCGTTCTTACAACCTGAGTTTGTTTATTATTGTTAATATATGCTTTCAGTACGACCTAGAGTCCTCTTAGCTACTAAAAGGACACAAAAAAGATCAGTTTAAAGTCGCTCGATTTATTTACAATTTCATTTATTAATTAACAGAGCATAATTTTTTTATTAATGTGGTTATTACAATTATTATTAATATTATTATTATTTTGTAATATCGCTTATGATTTTTTTTTCTTTGTTATATAATCGCAGTGACAATTGAATAAATTAAATTAAATAAATAAAATTATAATTTACGTCGCAGGGTAACATGGTAGAATCCAAAAACTAAGTACTCCGATAGTCCCTTTACACTTATCTGAAATATCACCTCTAGATCCCTGGCGTGGACTGGGCTCTAGAGAAAATTGACAGCACTGAGAACAGCTTGACCATTTCGATTTTCGTTTCTGTCGGCCCTTTATAATACATCGAGAAAAAGTCAAAAGAAATAATCGGTATTTGGTTTGAGTTTTCTTTCATTAGAACTGCCTGTGGTTAAGTTATTAATCTTGTACCACTTGAACAGCTTGAACCAATGAAAGCAAACATTCCATAATTTCAATCAATAAGGGCAAGTGAACCTGTCAAGCACTCGGAAAACAGCGCTTGGACGCAATTACATTTTAGAAAGAACGAGTTCTGAATATCCATTTTACCTAACAGTGGTATATTCCGCTTAAACCTCGCTTTCCAGTTTTTGGCCTTTGGATAGAAAATTATTCTGTTCTGTCCTCTGAATGAGTGAATTTTTCATTTGTGAAGAAAGCACACATTCTGGGACGGCCTTTGATTCCTCTATAGGCGTTAACGGGCGGCATTTTAAGTGATTCAAACTTGAGTTTCGAATTAGTGAGCCTTTTTCTCTCTCTACTTTTCCAGTCAGTAATTTGCTCGTTTCTTCAATAGTCGATGCTCTTCTGGTTCTTTCGATGTCTAAGCCTGGCGCTTTAGCTTTCTCCCCCAATTTATTAAGAGCGGAGTCTGACACAGTCTTCGCGATAAGACCTCCAACCTTTCCCCATTTAGACCGCGCCATGTAGTCTGCTTTGTTTCCTATAGTTTCTGGTCTCATTACCCTCCTAAGAGTAGTCCCTTTGCACGCATGAGCTGGACCTATTGCAAGGCCATTGACAACTTTATCGCTGGCATGTTCCTCTGTCATTGTAACAGACGTCTGCACACATTTATTTTCTTTCAGAACGCAAGAGCTTCCCATCATATCGGAAGTAATGGCTGAACTTCTGCGGCTTGATCTGAAAGTATACTGCGCAGTAAGAGCTCTAAATACAGTCATTTGGTTCAACGCTGGGCGAAAAAGAATAATGTGCAGCTTGGGGCCAAATATCAGGGCCAAAATGGCAAAGTTGGATGCTAGAATTGCGAAGCAGCTGATAATAACATTGTGATGGCCATCAGGAGTTCCGTAGAATGCACCAACAAACGTCAACCAAATGAAGTTAAATACGAACATGGCGAAACTAATAAACTTCGCTTCGTTATAATTCTGAGGCAGTTTCCTCGACTTGAAAGCCACAAACGTGCAAAGCAGGCTGAGGAAGATGATGAAAGCATTTGAGATGATTTGCCCAAAGCTTGTCCTCGTCTCACACATCAACAGTCTTTCTGTCAGAGTGAGCCGGCGAGCAGTGACCCGCGGTGGACTTGACAATAACCATGCGACACATAGTAGAAGTTCGATAACAGTGAAAAACAATGCAAGCATTATTTGGGTTCTGTTGTATAGAAACATACTCAAGTATTTCTTCAAAAATTTTGATTGACTCTTTGGTGTGACTTTGCTATATCTGAATACGACAATAGTTCGGTTAATTCTAGCTAACACTATCGACAGCGAAAATGCAAAACTCGCTCCGAACAGAATGATCTGTATTTTGCAACTGGTGTCCGTCGGTTTCCCGATGTACGCAAAAGGAACCAAAAATCCTATCATTAACCCAAACAGTAACAGAAAACTTATTTCTCTATTGGCCGCCTTTACAATGGGAGTTTCCTTGTGGCGAAGAAATACACCAGCAGTGAAAACACACGCCAGCACGCAAAGAATCGTTGTACCGCTTAGAACCCAGGCCCACACGCTGTCCCAGCGAAGAAACCTTGTTGGAACAGCAATACACTTGGTTTTATTGTCGTTTGGAATTGTGTCCGCGTGGCACTGGGTACAAGTGGAGACGCCTGACGCATTGCTGATGCTACCACTTGGACATACCTTGCATTCCCAGCAACATAGGGGTTTCATAACTATCTTAAAAGTACCAGGTGGACATTCCAAGCTGCAGCGGCCTATGGGAGGAGACGTGACGCCTCCCGGCCAGTGGATTCTGTGACTATCTATTTTTAGCAACCCTGTTTTGCCGTCATATTCGCCAATCTTCAGAAAGGTTGCGTTATGTCGATTTTTTCCTTGAAGGTTAATGATGTCATAGCGTCCAACACCGTCGCCATTTTTGTCGAATGATACAGTTCTATTGGTCACGCTGGTGAACGTAATGTTAAAGATTTGTGACAAAACTGAGGAAGGCGTGACTCTGTTAATGCAAGTTTCCCTGCGTGACATGTCTCCATTCGTTCTGGTTGCAAAGTCAGAGCCACATATTTTTCGAACCGAATAAACAACTGAGAGCACTGCATCTAACACGTAGGATACGCGAGAAAAAACTGCATCTGTTTTGATGAGCTTTTCAGCAAGTCGTTCTTCTCCGCTGCAGGTTTTCGCTATAAACGGAGCGCGATCTCCGTTCGGGGATGTAAAATTCTTCTCGGACATGTTACACTGAAATATTTCCTGCCAGAACTCAAGAAACCAAGAACTGTGATCATTGTTGAACGGGTTAAGCTGGTAAAAATATTCCATAAAGTCAGGTACAACCGTCGGCTGATTGATTATTCGGAACATGCCTTCGACAATGTCCGCGTTATCTTCGGCAATTTTCGGCGAGTCAGCCCAAGAATCACTTCCGATCCATATCTTTTGAGTAACATCCTGTTGTGCAGCCTGGTAAAGTATTTCACCAGCTTCACGTTCAGAAGTAAAGAGTAAAATAACTTCAATACTTTTGTTCTGGCGAAGTTTTCCCACTGTTTTCCTTATGGTCTCCTCGCTAGGGTCATAAGGTATTAAAATATCAACTGCCAAACAAACTCCAAACTTTTTAGCTTCGGTTTTGAATGTCTCTGCCAAAGGCCGACCGTAAATGTCGTCTGAGGCTAACAAGGCTACATAATTCCACCCAAAGTGTGACACGATCCTCGCTATGGCTCTTCCTTGATGCGAATCCGGGGGGACCGTTCTTAAAAAGGTTGGATAACGATTTTTGTTGCTCAGAAGTCGCGAAGTCGAAGCATAGCCGATTTGTGGCACCCTAAAAATACTTAGAATGTTATTAACTGCCGATGAGATGACACTGTTTCCAGCGCCCAAAACTGTAATCGGTTGTTTATTCGCAGCTGTCGGCATCATCACATTCCCGGTTGTGGAATTCCAGTTTTGTTCACTCAAGACTTTCCTTCCGTTAACAAAATACAGAGATGTTTTCAAGGCAGTTAACACTTTGCTACAAGTGTCGCGAATATCGTAGCCCATAGAGATATCGTGAGGGAGTAGCTTGTTTTCGTTGACATACTTTACAGCGTAGATCATTGCTTCGGTTAAAACGACGCCTTCCTTGAATAGCGGTGCACAAGAGTCATCGTTTACAGCTGACTTGTGAACTGGAAAGAGGCCACCTAACAGTATGTCTGCAGGTTTGAAAACCCTGGCTTGCTTCGAGCCTGCAACTTGTTGAGGTCGCCCAAACAGGTGCGTCAAGATTACCAAATAATAAAAAGTGTGAAGATCGGCGAAACTAAATAAAATATTCAAGTGACGCATGATACTGCTTGGAGTAGCACGGAGGAGGAAATTGATTTTCAATTTACAATTTAGAATGAAGGCGATTGCAGATACCAACTCCGAGAAATCAATCCTGGCATCATGAAGGACTTCTTAAGCAAACCGTAGAAGCGGCCATTTAGATCATTTCCTTTACCGAGATAGACTTGGGTTCGATGAGCTACAAGAAGTATGATCTACTGCTGTTTTTTCATGTCTTGGTGCAGTTCTGAGAACGTCCAAATTCGAAACAAAGTCGGAAAAGATTCCAAAGATAGGCCATTCACAATGCCCCAACTTTACTGTATTCATGTTTAAATTAAAACTTCAAAGTTGTGGTTTAATTAAACCAGCCCCGCAGCGAACTCTCCAGTTGGTAAAGAACCATGCTTTAAACAGTTCTTTAAGTACTCCAAATGGCAAACAATCTGTCAGTCGCTGCTCGTCACGCCGCATTGATTTGCTACAAAGCGCGTCGCTCCGTGGAAATATTCACTTACTAGGTAAATAAAACTGATTGAAATTCGGGCACCAAATAATGAGAGAAACAGATAGTTAGGCGGATACAAACAATCAGAATATTTCAATAATAAAAAATCGAATTTATTATTTACAATTAAAAAGGAAATCTGTTTTAGTAATGGTCAGAAATTTGGTTCCGTGCCAATGAAAAACCTGCCCCGAGTCAGCAAGGAGGCCAGATTTCTTTTTCCAATAATTAAGTTGAACCAACCGACCGCGTTTCGACATATTGGAAAACAAAAATAGTCCGATCGCCTATAATATTTATATTTTGTACATAATGAAAAATTTAACAAAGGTTAAAGTTGTTTTGAAGTTCCCTTTGATAAGCTAGTTGCCAGCTAAATTAACGAATGAGAGAATAATTTCTCCGGGACTTCTCTATACAGGTGTTTTTATCTCAGGCAAGATGTAATCTATATTAGAGAAAAAAGAACAGAAACCACGTTTAATTCTATGATAGTAGCCATGGATAACATGCGACAGTTCTTGATAAGTATCTTTCTTTCAAACCGACTGAGAACAGGTTATATTTTGACAGCAAACCTAATAATGAGTAATTGTAGCAAACAGCATGAACATAACACATGCAGCGCCCGTTTCACTCCCGTTCGGTCGAAAACAAAACGACTTTAAAAAGTAATGTATGGGATGGCAAACAATAAGCCTTTCTCGCTATATTGTTAATTGGTTTCGACTGCTTTGTTATAGGGAATAATCTGGTGGACATATTTTCATTCCAGTCCGTGCATTTGAACTTTATTTTACTTCATTTTTACTCGTGCGGTGTTTTGAAGTTTTTTTCTGTTTTCTGCGGAAAATAAAACTTGAATACTTTCGGTGTTAGCCGTCGACCGTTCCCTTTTCTGGTAAGGGGATCATCCTTTACCAAGCCCAGAAGAGCGGCGACGATTAACGAAAAAAAAACGAAAGGAAACGAGCTATTTCACTATCTTGCGGCCATTTTACTAACAAGGAATTAATCTACACCACCAGATTGAGACCACCACCAAAGGAGAAAACCATGTGCTGTATGAAAGCACTCTATTTCGCTGTTATCTAGCAATTGTTTACTGAAGTCTCTTATTCTAAATTTTAATAACTTTCATATTTCAATCAATCTTCATACATTTTTTTTCTGTATATTCCCACCATCTCTTTCTCGGGCTATTTTTAGATTGCATGAAAGAGATTTCACAGAATAATAGTCCCAATAAATTAAAGAATAAGAAACGTTGCATTCATGAATTACACCCCGTGAACAGTGCTACGCACAAACCACAAAATCCAGATAAGTGGATTTTCAGACGCCTGAGCCCAGGGCCATAATATGTGGAATTTTTCAGCAAAGAGGAGTAAAGTTTTACAAAATCACCGAAAGCATTGGACAATGAGTGTCATTTGTAGTTAACAGTGTAGTTTAGATTTTTATATTTTGCTTTACAGATAGTGGTAACCGTATTAAAAATTTCTGAGAACAATGACTTGCGGACACAAGTGAAAGAACGCCAGTAGATTTATACTAATAAAAGATAGAAAAACGAAGCACGCTGGAAATTAATTTGTGTTTTCAAAATAGACTCATCTGAGTTTATTTCACCCGCGACCCAAACATAGAACACAAACGGGCGTTAACCTATTTTCCCTCTCTGACATTGTTGAAGTGACCACCATTTTCAACGCCAGTTGCCCGTGAAAAACAAACTGTCTCAAGTCATTTTTTTCATGTGAAATTCTTATATTTCCGTAAAAATGTTTGGTTTACGTCAGCAATATGATCATTTGGTGTCTCACTACCGGGAACTATTCAATGAGCGGTGCTTTGTGTTGGTAATTGGTATTGTTGTGCGCTGTTGTTGCCAAATAACAATTTCCTGCATCGCATACCGATACCATCCATTCATATCGTGATTGAACCGGCTTAAGGCTCCTTGATTCCATAATTATTATAAGCCAAGCTCAGCTTGTGCGAAAAAAAATGGTTTGAAGCTGCAAATATTCGGATTCAAAAATTGCTAATTTCAACAAAGTAGTCGATGAAAATGGTTCTGTTTTTATCTAACGCTTAATATTTGCGGCTGACGAAGGGGTTTTTCCTGAAACGCATAGGAAAAACACCACACATGAGCACTTTTTGTAAACTTTATCAAATGCAATTAAATTCAAAGTTCTACACAGCAACATTTTGTTTTTATTTCTAAATGTGACATGACAAAGTGGTCGATCGACACTGAAACTTAAAGTTGTCGACGGTTTTTTATCTTTTAGCTTTCTTGTTCAGGGGAGGAGATCAGGCATAGACAACCCGATCGTTCGCATTTTCCACTACTCTCCAAAATAACAGCCATGTGGGTCCTTGGCCTTCCCTTGCACACATTGTAAACCTCCCAAAACCTTTCTCAAAAATGATCAGTAACTATTTTCTCCTAGTAATATGTGTTTATGTGAAAGGTGCGGGCGCCAAGGCGGTGAAATGAGAGTGCGAAGCTTCATTGTTCAGTTTCTCATGTTCAGGCTGCACTACTATAGGAGCTCAAATTAAAATGAGGGGCAATCAACTAACAGAATTTATGTGAAAGCAGAGGTGCCACGTTTATTTTTTTTTTTTCCAGTTTCTATACTTCATGTTGTAATTTTTTTTCCTTTGTGTAGAGTAGCTTCAAAGCTTTAGCAATGTAATGTATTAACGTTAGTTCTTACTGCTAGTTGCATTGTGCGTGTCCGTTATTTTTAGTAATAACGTTAGTAGTTCGCTATTTTTTTTTTTTTTTTTTTTTATTTGTGCTATAAAAAAAGGTGACAAAAACATGTGTCGAGCTTTGATCGAGACTGAAAAGGTTTCTGAAGTTGTTTTCGTCTTTGAGGTTCAAGTAATCTTGTGGTATAAGCGTTTTCGGAAATAAGAAAATTTCCCTCATTAACAATATAATGGCAAATTGACTTGTTTATTGACTTTGGCAAATTGTTGTGACTCGCAGTATCATCCGTTTACTTTAAGAAAATAGTTCTTTTGTTCTACAAAAAATTTCAACAATTTATTATGAAAACACGGCCACAATGTAATTTTTGCGAAGGAAATAACCTGCCCGCCCAAACAGGAAATGACTGCATTTGAAAATACTTTATTAACTGTCAATCACACATTTTAACAGCGAAATCTTTCAGCGAGAGTGCACTGAATCTTGTCAAAAGTGGCTATTTGAGAGTGGATGGAATTCAGACTAAAAGCCTAATTCATTATTTACGTGATTTTAATATGTGGTACGTGATCCGAGAGCTACAATTGTAGCTCATCCCAGCATCCGGGTTTTAGATAATCCTTACGTCATCGTGTGTTGATCAAATGGATTGTGTACACATGAAGTGAGCGGACGCCGTGACAAAGCGAAAAACATCAACAATCAAATGTCGAAACCAAAGGATGTTTACTCACTAAGCAGATTACTATTTTTAAACATGAAATGCCGAGAAATCTTTAAATCGAGCTCTAAGTTTGCTTATTTCAAAGCAAATTGACAGCATTACAAAATATCTTCAGGAGAGGGGTGGACTGGAACGGAGCAGAGCGTGCGTGAGTGACGTTTTGCTCCAATTAGTATCAATTACTGTTCAAAATAGCACTACAATGGTTTGCCGGAAGTGGGGTGTCAATAAGGTTTTTTCTTTTTTCCTCCTCTCTATGTTTTTATACTCTTAATTTACGACTTGGGAACATGAAAATAAGATTGAGTTTGAGCTGCTGTTTGAAAACTCTCCGAAAATTTGCCATTTGCTACGAGTTTCTTTCTTTCGGTAGCGGGAGGCAAAATAAATGTCTTATGTCATGATTTGTCACAAACCCACCCATATCTAATAAGACACCCTGAGTCAACATGTCAAAGGATGGCGGAGTAGAATTACATTCACTTGTAGCCACAGAGGTCACTGCTTTCGTTTATTATAAATAGTTTTCATAACGTGTATTTATACTTGACCTTTGTTTGTAATCTCTCCGCGCGCCACACTAAATTTATAAGCAGTGTATCTGAGCCAAGACAATAACAGTTACCTAACACTACTGATTGCGATCGTCATGGAATCCAACTCAACGGAGAAGCAAACGTACTGTAAACCTCTGAAGGTTTCCCGAAGCAAAATCTTCTATTATGTCGGACACTTGGTTGTTGTAATAGCCGTGACTTTGCCAACGATATTTTACGTTCTTCAGCCGGATCATCCTCCACACACCAACTTCAATGAGTAAGTAAACGAACAAAGAATTAATTCCTTTCAACATGCAACAGTTTGTCATCTAACACCAGGTTTTTAGGAAACTCTGCTCCGAATATGGCTGCACGAATGACATGGGGCGGATTTGCCCTCTTTTTACTGCCGTCAGTCCGTTTATCCACAAGATATGAGAACTTTAACAGCTTTTTACACTAACTAGAGCTCCGGTGCAAGATTACATCACAATGATATGGCTCTCTGGCTNTACTGTGTATTATGCCGTACAAGGTGGTGCAGACTTTTAACACTAGTGTGCGACGATTCAAGGGAACGTTACTAAGTAATACTTTTGTGTAATGCCATTTGGTAGTGGAGACCGAGTTGAAGAGAACTTTAGCATCAATGGGAGCGGGGTGGAGCAAACTGACCAGTTGATACCTGTTTCTGTTGACACTGAACAATTTTATTGGCGTTGATTTCTTTTACAGAACTGAAGTATCTGTCAACTCGTCTAATTCGTGGAGGAGAAGAAACCTGACTGCTACTATTAACGGTAAACGTCACTATCACTTCTCCCTGAATCTAATCAATTGATGCTATAAAGATTATAATCTCATTTTTCCTCTTCACAAAAACAGATTTTCCGATCAAGTGTAACTCGCCCCTAGTCCCCGATAACGAAACCGGCCAATGTCGGCCGCCATGTTCCTGGACGATACAGTCACCTTTGCGGCAGAGGGTGTACTTCAATATTATTGTGGTTGGTTTGTGGATGGCCCTCATTGCAACAGTGATCACGTTCATCACTTGGGCCAGCATTAAAAATCTGTAAGTACCGCCAAGTAATGTTCATCAAATTTCATTGCACATTAAAGTTTCACGGAGATTTTCCGAAGACTCATGCAAGCTTTGAGAAGTTTCCGAAGATCTCCGAACACTTGTTTCTCGATATAAACTTTCTCTGTTTTGTTTTCGTTCCTCTTCAGCCGCAAGTTTCCACATGTTCTGCGTTTTTACATCATTTTCTGCTGCATTATCCTTGGTAAGGTTTTTTTCATTTCACTTTACCCCTTAGGGTTTATTACGCTATTGCTTCTAGTGTTATTTGATGTTCTGACCTTGATTCTTCTATCTGTGCTTGATTGTTAGAGTTGAGTTTCGAAAGTAATTGTTTTCGTTTTGCTTTNAAGCTTTGAGAGGTTTCCGAAGATCTCCGAACACTTGTTTCTCGATATAAACTTTCTCTGTTTTGTTTTCTTTCCTCTTCAGCCGCACGTTTCCACATGTTCTGCGTTTTTACATCATTTTCTGCTGCATTATCCTTGGTAAGGTTTTTTCGTTTCACTTTAGCCCTTAGCTATCACTTAGGGTTTATTACGCTATTGCTTGTTATTTGATGTTCTGGCGTTGATTCTTCTATCTGTGTCGAAAGTAATTGTTTTAGTTTTGCTTTCTTTTTTCTATACATGGAATTTAAGCGCGTTTTCCCGCACCTGGGGCTTCTTTGCTGTGAGTTTTCATCGGTTTCTTGGCCGTTTACGTCGCTGTGTCGCCTATCCATTGTAATCGTTTTAATTGTGGTTTTTGGCCATCCTATTCCAGGTAATCTCAGCTTAACATATCAGTCTCAATAACTAAGTACAGTTTTCATACATAATGACCAGCGTGGNCTTAGGGTTTATTACGCTATTGCTTCTAGTGTTATTTGATGTTCTGACCTTGATTCTTCTATCTGTGCTTGATTGTTAGAGTTGAGTTTCGAAAGTAATTGTTTTCGTTTTGCTTTCTTTTTTCTATACATGGAATTTAAGCGCGTTTTCCCGCACATGGGGCTTCTTTGCTGTGAGTTTTCGTCGATTTCTTGGCCGTTTACGTCGCTGTATCGCCTATCCATTGTAATCGTTTTAATTGTGGTTTTTGGCCATCCTATTCCCGGTAATCTTAGCTTAACATATCAGTCTCAGTAACTACGTACAGTTTTCATACATAATGACCAGCGTGGCAGGCACAGAAAGGAACGACACGATTTTGAAACAAACGCGCACATGAAAAAAGGGTGAGGCAGCTTCAAACGATTTTACAAATTCGTCCACACTTCTCCTCCCCACCCCCTTAACCCTCACTTTGTACAGGGAACTAGAAAACATTACACAAAGAGTAAGAAAAAAAACTTAGATCTTCTTTTCTTGTCTTATAGCCAACTGCAGGATGCTCCCCATACACATGGGACCTGAAAAGACTTTTTGTCGTGGTCAAAAGTTTTGGCAACCGACCGGTTCCTCTTCATTAGCTTCTATCATTCAAGGTAACTCTAACAATCACTGGTAATATGTTCAGTAACAATTTTCTAATAGAATGTGAACTCTTGTTATAGAGACCACACTACATATACTTTCTGTAATCAGTTGTGTTAGGCTTGTCACAACACAGTTATGAATAAATACTGTACATTTAAAGGACCAAACCCAAGTTTATTTATTTTTCTGGGAATCAACAACTGTACATCCTTCAAAGAAAATTGAGCAAGCAATTAAGAAACTAGTTAACCTGAATTGCCAATATCTACCCCAAAATGCAAGAACCTATTTTGCCAGACTTAAAAAAAATGCAGGTTCTTACACGCAGAGTTTTACTGTAATCTGTATGACAAATTTTTGGATTTGTTTTTATGTCAGGTGCGATGTCTCACTATTTTGGACTGGCCCATTCCTTCTGGGCAATGTGTTTTATAGCGAACACATATGCAGTTATCATTTATGACAACCGATCGGTCTTCAAACACCCAATCAAATTTCACTTGATGCAGTCCGTGTTGTGCTGGTGTGGGCCCGCAGTCATCGTGGCCAGCTGTCTTTACATCGCTCCACCGGGATACAAGTTTCTCTTTGTGGATCTTATGATGGCTGGTGTCGGAAGCATTCGAATGGGTTACTTTGCTGTCACTCTACCAGTGCAGGTCACGCTTGGGATTTCACTGTGTTTGCTCTGGTCGATTGTGTGGCACCTCAGAAAGGTACAAATTGTATGGTACACCTACCATGGTGAGGGTGGATACTGTAAACTATTAATCAGCAAACAGCCAATCAGTGAATCAGAGCGCTCGAGATGATATCGAGGATGACTTGTCAGTATACTATAATATTCCAAAAATATGAAAAGATCTAAAGACTAGTTCCATCCAAATCCACGTAGCGCTTCTAGCTTTTTCCAGTCTCAGTATCGAAAGAAAAGGAGCAAAAGGCAGAAAAGGGATAAAAGAAAAATATTTCCGTTTGTGGGATAGACTAATATCCCTTCCAGGGTGGAGTAGAAATGCTCCTTGTTGCTTCACGCTAATGAAACCGATGACAATCCTTTAGTTAGCAGAGAATAAATTTAGTTTGCCGCGCATCCTTTCTCTTCCTTCTCCACAATCCAAGAGCGCTAAAAAAAGTCCTTATCAGTGTGAAGAATCAAGCCTTCTCTTAAGCTGTTAGTTTTTAGCAATACAGGATTAGTCTCTTTTGCAGAATATGATTAAGCTAATTTTTCGCTTCTTCTCTACACAGGCTCGCTTAGACTCCACTAAACGAGTTATCCGAGCCAGGGAAGAGAGGATTTCCATGCGGCGAGTTGAGCGGCAGTTTTTGAGCATGGCTGTTATAATACTGCTGGTGGTGGGGGTGGGCTTGTCAATCAACACCGTGACACTGTACCGCGTCAAGAATTTTGTGCACGATGCGGAAGTCTACTTTGACTGTCTGAAGGTGAGACAGCTCTAAAAGATTTTACGTTTAGTTCAATTAGCAGAGTTTGACAGTTTAATCCTGAATTGATTTCACACTCGTTCGATTTTTTTTCCCCCAAAGCTCATCAGGATCTTGACATGTTACTAAAAACTAACCACCGACCAATTACATCTCTCTCTTGTGGCCAAATNTTTTGAGCATGGCTGTTATAATACTGCTGGTGGTGGGGGTGGGCTTGTCAATCAACACCGTGACACTGTATCGCGTCAAGAATTTTGTGCACGATGCGGAAGTCTACTTTAACTGTCTGAAGGTGAGACAGCTCTAAAAGATTTTACGTTTAGTTCAATTAGCAGAGTTTGACTGTTTAATCCTGAATTGATTTCACACTCGTTCGATTTTTTCCCCCAAAGCTCATCAGGATCTTGACATGTTACTAAAAACTAACCACCGACCAATTACATCTCTCTCTTGTGGCCAAATGATCCCAGAAGTCTTAAGGTTAAAGGCAACTGAGTCTGGGACACAGCGATAAATTTGAAATAAAAATTTGAAAATTTAGCTTTCGGGGGTTCACGCTCTCCAGACAATGCAGAATGTGGTCATTTCACGTTGTTGTTTTGCAGAGGACGGCAAAGAAATTAATGTACCAAGAATTATAACGCACGTGCACAGCCATTGATCTGCTCATTAAACCTTTCATTTAGGGACGTTCCCGTTACCGTTGCCGTCGTGGTATCATAGATAAAAACTTTATGATATTTTGGTTCTTGCCAACAGAGGGCTAGTATGTGGTTCTCGAAGCTACGTTCTTAATTGATGTGAGCTTATTTTGCATTTTTAGGCCTCAACGGACTGCAAGCCTCCTACATACAACACAGTGCGTTCATTAATAAGGATCATAGCCCCAGCAATCGTCTGTCTTGTATTCTTCTTCCTTTTACTGATGAACAAGGATTGCCGTAACATCTGGATTGGATGCTTCCGTAAATTTACCAAGCTATTTGAGTTCTGCAAACCTGCTCCAATGAAGATTCGGGCCGACACGAGCCGCTCACGATGTTCTTCGACGCTGACTGTTCTGTCTGATCATCGGCGAGATTCGGAGCTGTTTCCAAGGCAATCCATTCTATTTCCAAATGATAGTCCACTATTGGATCTAGATGTCAAACCAACGAGACCTAGAGCTTCCACTTTGAATTTACCAGTCAAAAAACAGACAATAACCGTCTCGAATTTAGACATTGAAATTTTAGTAACACCTCCTCCAAATGATTTCAATCCACGAGGAAGATGCCATTCCGTTCCTGTTTTCCTTCTCAATGAGCCAATGCCACAAAGGAATGATCAAAACAAAGTGAATACATGGGTGGCTACACTTCCAGTCTTTGTTCCAGAGGAGTTTGGTTCTTTTGGAAGCAACTACAGCGAAGAGGATTCGGACGTTTATAGTGAATCACGGCTGGATGGGGTGAGCTACATCCGGGAAATCTCAGGATATTCCTCCAAACTGTAGCTAGTGGCATACACCGCTGAAACGTAAAAACGACGATCGCTGGCGCTGAAATATATAATGTGCCTCAGTGGAAGGAGGTTTGACTAGGAACAAGAAAAGAAGACAGGGTTTTCGAGTGGATAACGAGACGTGCTGAAGACAAACTTTATAAAGCGACGATTGATAAGCAGGGGTGCGAAAAACCGGTAGAGGGAGAAATCACATTGATTCTTAAAAAAACATATTGTTTATTTATGGTCTTCTTGAGGACGTTAAGCAATATTTAAAAAACGCATTCCTGTAACTATGAACATTGTAAAATCTAGGAGTTCTCGTTGATTTAGTCTCTGACGGCACCAATTACAGAGAGAGTCAAGTGGAGAAAGGAAAGTTATTAACAAGACGGGACAATTGCAGTTTCTACCTTTCCTTGGTGGACAAATTGAAATTTTCTTTTTAAGAATATGTGAAATTTGCTTTATATTATCGTGTATGAAAGTAGGTAATGTGATAATGTACGAAGGTCAAAGTAGCTGATAATATTTTTAATATTGTAACGCAGTCTGAGAACTGTGAGTGTCCAATAGGCCAAAGTAACATGTTTTATCAAAGTGCAAAACGTAGAAAACTGATAATTTATTGTTAACCACGTGCAAAAATCTAGAAGAAAGCTTGTTTGTGTTATGAAGAATGTAAATACGTCGTAACAACCATTCACTATGGTTGATATCGTATCGAACTTCGGTTATCTGAGTGAGGATTCGTGTTTATTTTACCCTTCCCGCGTGTTCTCGGATACCCTTCGTGTTAAATGACAGACAAATCAGGTTGTATCGACTGTATCATTTGTGAATAAGTTATTTTGATTTATACTTATACAACGATAACTAAGGATTCCTGTAAATAATGCATGCCGAATAGAGCCTGCAGCTCGTTTTGGTACAACCATTTAAGTTCTTATGTATATAAGTAATGGCAGTGACATCAGTGACTGAGCAAATAAAATGGGTCCGCTATCCTACCGCGATCTAGTTAGCTTCCACTTATCTTCTACTACAGGAAAGCAGTTAGGGAAAGCTCCCGGAGAAACTGAGAAATAACGGGACAGCGAAACTAAGTTAGCTCTGGCTGTACCATCCGGGTACAGTTAGCGTATAACTGGGGATCACTGGGAGGGAGAGCAGTGATGAAAAGAGGGGGGACCCCGTTCCCCGGGGAAGCCCGTTCTCCGTTGACCCCTACAACACAGGCTAAGTACAGTGGCCTAAGAAAAGTTTCCTCTTCTTTGTCGAGACACATTGCAAACAAGAAACCGTGACTCCCGAGTCAACCACCGCAAGGGAAAATCTGAAGTTGGGCGGAAATCTTTTTGTTAACGAATTTTAGCGAAAAAATCATTTTTACATGGAGGACAATTTCAGTTCTTCTAAAACTGAATGACAAATTCAGTGTTACATGTCTGACGAAAGTCACTTTGCATTGTGTATTTAAAATGATTTCAGCATGCAATGTTGGAACAAGCTAAGATCACGAGCTAGCGACGAAAAGTCCAATGTATTATGGTTTTAATGGCATACATAGTATTTCTTTGGCATATCAAGATCTTCAGGAGATTACTGTAGTTTTCTACACTTGAGATGAGATTTTTGAAAACAACAATTTGATCAGAGGGGAACCTTCGATTTTTGCCATCCAGAAAGTTCAACGACGCTTAATGAGATGCGGCTGATTTCATTTCTCGGAATCTGATCAGAATATTTTCATCAGTTTTAGTACATGTAGTGTGGATAGCATTTTGAAGTATGGTAGTTTGGCTGCTTGTAGAAACCCATTTTAAAAAAATCTACCGGGCGGTTTTTAAGTCAAACGAAAATGAAGTTACTAGGGTGAAATGGTGCTTTTCGAAGATGCAAGCCTCCTTAATTTCTTATTCATATTTTCGTAAGATAATGATAATCTTCTTATTTGTTCTTCTTATTGCCAGTTAAGAGAAAGTAATAAAAAATTCTTATCAGTGAAAACCACTGAGAATTCATCTAGTATTGTATAAACAGAAGTTCTGAATTACAAATGTACTACACCCCGTGTCGTGTGTATTAAAATGCCAGGCTTATTTCAGATCAGATATAACATGATTTCTCAGTCAAACTGTGTACACTGAAACCGGGTCAAATTAAACATGTAAATGACCGTACAAGAGAATGTTTACTTGCTTTTAAGAAAAGGCTGAAATCATTCAGTCGAAAAAGAAGTGATTGACCAAGTTGCTTGGGGAGTCCAGGGGAAGGGATATTGCAAGCGTGTGTGTTTGTACGCGCGAAAAGGTTAGCACGATAATGGTTTACCGGAAGTACCCTGTCCGTAAAAATATTTTTGATAAACGCTTTTCCATTTTGATTCAATATATTTCGTCTTTCTCTCGTCGATTGGCGTCACAACTTTGTAAGGATTCAGTCTAGTGTTTCCTCTTTAATTTTTGGCACACGGGATGTCTTGTCATTACTTGTCAAAAACAGACATCCCTGTCTAAACAGAACACCTTTGTGTAAATGTGTCATCAAAAATAGGATAAGATTACATAGGCAGCCATGATCAGGTCGTCAACATCTTTAGTTTCACGTATTTTACACTTGACCTTTACGTCTAAAACATCTCCGTCT